TTTGTAGAATTGTGAATAGTGGAACATACCAAAAAACGATTTTAAAATATAGATAACAGGTGCAAACATTCTCTCTTTTGAATGCTTAGCAAGATTTAGCAAGGCTGTACATAAATAATAAAAACGAAACATGGTAAAAAAAAGAAATGACGGGATCTCCATATTATGCACTATATTTAACTGTTAACAAAACGATAATACATTTAAATTTAGAACTGTTACAGCCATTTTAATTATGAGCATCAGCAAACTTTTTACTGAGTGAATTGTTATGCAAATTAGCAATTATCTCAGCTTCTTTTTAGTGCACATCCTAAGAACTTTAAAAAAAATAGCTCCTAGACGCTTTGACCTTTTGTTTTGAAATTTTCACAAAAGATTGACAATGTGTTTATCTTCAAAACGCCGTCGAGGCATTGTTTTTGATTGAACAGTGTTACAACAATCGTACAGACAACTAGCCAGGGCGTTAATTTATGCATAGACTTGAAGTAGTGAAATTTGAGCTGCTGCCCTGCAAAATTGACACCTTGTAGACAGTTTTCAAGACGGCGCGTTCTTCATAGTAAACAGATGTACCCACAAAGCAATTTTGACAGGAAACAGAAGCATGGTTTAGGAGCTATTTTTTTTAAATCACTTTTGACCAAAAAAGCACCTTTTTGTGCATATTTCAAACTACAGTGTCCATAAAAAAAATACTAACAAATTTTTAAAATTCATTCAATAAGCTTTCCGAAAATATATAGTTTTGTGGACAAGGGAGGTCATCTTGGTTTCCTAATTAACTAATTAAAATACCTGTCAGGTAAACTGCATCTCTAATAACATTTTTGTCAAATTACCTGGATACACAGAAAGTAAACACTGTTTACGATTGTGCAATGAATGGTAGTCAATTTTGTCATGAAATTAGTCTTTAAATTCTTATACTTAAAATCCAACATTTTCGAGATATAACTTATCATGCGATTTGATAGTTTTTTTACGATAAATGACATAATTTCTATTCTGTGTATATTCAATAATATTAAAACAATAATGCAATAAGGCGGAATTAACATTTGACCAAGTATACGAATTCACACTGTGAAACTTTTACATTTATTGTTCTGGGTTTTCGGATATTACAAATAGAGTTTGAATCCTGGTATGTACTTCATGCTGGTTGCATTTTCATCTGTAATCTGTAAAACAAAGAAAAATGCATACTTAAATTAAATACAGACAAGTCGTGTGGTAGAGTAGAGTATTACTGACGACTTTCACACAACAGTTATTCGAGAATAATCAACACTTTTTGTGTCGAATAATCCTTGTTACTGTAGATTGATAAGAGGCGGATATCAGTATAGAGATAAACGTGGAGAACCGCAGGTTTAATTCATTATTAGCTACACTATATGTTTATATATTTTCTAAACTAGACAACTGGATATTTTCAGAGGAAACCCGTTTGCCGGGGGATAAGATGTATTATTATATAGACATTTAGTTCTATAAAAAATACATCTGAGTTGCGTGAAATTCTAAATATATGCCTATACAAATGCCTGCATCGTAACGAAAATGTATATTTATAATATTATTAATATAGTACAGCGGGAGTTTCGTTCGGTGCGCAGAGGAGGTCGATGCTATCGCGGACTGTCTGAGCGCTTACTGTGCAGTATCCACTGCAGGGTTACCATTTCGAATGAATCTAACTGGTGACAGGTCCACCACATATCCCAATTTCCAAGATGATTTTGGGACGAGAAACAGGGGATGTCACAAGCTTTTACGTGATTTAGTACATACACAGTACAACCGAGTTGGTGAATGCGTCTTTACCAACCTCCTCTATTGAGCCACATTCAACTATGCAGACATGTGTAGCATCGGTGATGAAGACTAATGTATCCAAGTGTGCGACCTTAGAATGAACTGAACATGACTGGTTCTGGGGTGTTACTTTGTGCCAGGGCAGTAGATACGCACAAAAAGATGCATTATGATTTGCTAGTATCAGTGATATTTGTGTGCTGGATGCCACCTCCAGACCAATAACGGTGAAGCGACTGCTTGTATTGGATCCAGATCGGTGAATCCAGTTGTGGACACTTGTACGCAGTCCATATTAGAAGCAACGGGTGTAACAATATTCAATAGCAACATGAATTGATAAAGAATGTTAGTAGAGGATTTACAGTAAATGTATTGAAGCCATAATAACGTTTGTACAAATCCGTGAAAAAACGTTGGTGCATACCATCGACATATGGTTGTCTGTATAGAATCCAGCGTCCACATCACTTGCTGAAGACAATATTAAAATATTGTACAAAAGTGGAAATGCTAGTGAGGGATCAATAGATTAATGCATGGGAATAATACTAATTGTTCATCTGGAGTCCATAAGAAAATTACCAACTTTTCAGCTGGTTACCCATATCTATGCCAAAACACAAACACCATACCAGTAACAGAACAAGTCTGTACCAAAACTGGGAAACTTTACAGAAAGGCATTGGGGTCCACAATGATGTTATGCTCTGTTCTTACTATTATTGAACATGTCAACAACCAATGATTCAGCGCATAAACCAAATCCAAATTACAGATTGCCGTTCACTAAATTTCCTAAGGTGCCCAGATTTGCTAGGCAAAATGATGGTAATCCTCTGAAAATTCATACCCACTGGTCTCGATTTCACAATACAAATAAGTAATGGTAATTGGCTAGTACGACAAATTACGGTGGAGATGATTAAACCCTACATATATTATCAAAGAAGAATTGTATTTATTTCACCTGCTGGAGACTGGCGGCTAATCTTCCATGGTATTTTGCAAGTCTGATCCATTAAGCATATAGTCATTTAGTGCTGGAAAAGGAAATTGTGTTGATCATAATATTAGTGTGTAGCTAATAGATTAAGTCCCTAGATATGCTCAGCCTCAATTCCCAATATCCTAGTGACAGTGTGTATATTTCATGGTCGACATCATAAAGGTTCGCCCTGTCCAGTTGAGCATGGATATAAATATTCCTAAAGTTTGGGTTATTTTAAAAAGTTGTTCATAAATCGCTTGATAATGGTCGCCATTTACTAAAATACAACCACCCTTTCCTTTTAAATCAACACTCTTGTTTTCACCGGTAGTACGATTTATGAATAAATGTGTATTTTGATAGACAAGTATATTCTACCTTAATTGACTTTTTTGTATTAAAACTTAATCTGAAGGTATAGCATGTGAGCACTACAGAGTCTGGGGATCACACACAGCGGTTTAGAGTCTTATTGTAAGCCAACATTGAATTGTCATACTTTATAAATAATGTATGAAATAATTAATACTTACACTCCTGGCAGAATTCTCCAAAATACGGTAATGGACACTCGCAGTAATGGTATTCATTGGCATTGCACGTCACGCATGTTCCACCATTTTTGCAAATATTGTATTTAGTACAATCGCCATCTATGAATAATTAGGCCATAGTCGCACTATTATTAAGTACAGTGGTTTTGAATATGTGAGCAACTTTATATATTTATGAGAGAACACTGGCAGTGGGATTGTCCTTTACTGTGGCCAAAAGCGTATCAAGGTCGGTATAATATACGGACGGACGGACTGTCGCCAAGAATGTCTTAACCTGACGTAATATATATTGTAACAATCTATAGATCTCGCATAATTCACTCATCGAGTACTTTATTGCACTAATGTATATACATTCTTACCTATTTCACAGTGGGTACCCATATATGGGTAAACACACTCGCATAACTTAGTAATCTGTGTCTCAGATCCAGTGGGATTCACAATGTCGTGTTCAACACACGAACCACCATTCTGACAGGAATCGCAGCTTATATCTAAATAAATCGAAAAAAAATGAATAAAAACACGACAAACGTGTGGCATTAGAATCTTACTACATTGTAGTAGTACGAAATAGAGAGCAATAATCCACCAGGAAAGAATGATAAAAAGCTACACTCCCTGGCGACGAATTAGACAACCAGCCAGATACATGTTTATTAGTTTTTTTTCTTTCAGATGTTTGTTATTGGACTGTATATGGAATGACTTCACCTCTTTCACACAATGGACCTTCAAACGGCGAAGCACATATACAGTATTCAACTTCATATATGGGGTCTTTGTAACACATTCCGCCATTCTGACATGGACAGTCATCATGCTGTGTGGCTCGCAAATCTGCAACAAAAGTGTAAGTGTTTTAGAATAGGCAATTTATCAAAATATGTGATACGAATCACATCAGATACACACCCTTACCGACTTGACAGTAGGACCCTTCGTAACCGAAATCACATTCACAGACTGCTATTGAATTCTTATTCTCATCTTTATAACTTTTACATACACCATGTTCACTACAGTTGCCATGACAGTCATCTGCATCAAAATAAAACCAATTAAAGTGTATTTAAAACTGAGGGTTGGAATTCATGTACTGGTCAATGTGTTTTTGTGTACTTCAAAACAAATTCATCGAATTACGAGTGAAAAAGTAATTATACGACCGAACTGAGGTCACAGCGGTAAAGAATAACGGTAGTGTCACGTGGGATCACGCACCTGCTTTGATTTGACAGCGACTTCCAGTAAACGGGTACTTGCAATCGCAGAGATATTCTGGGCCAATCCTGTATTGATGATACTTGTTAACAATACAATCGCCGTGATCATTGCAGTTTTCCAATTTGCATGATGACGGTACGTCATCCATATCTGATAGGAAGAAACCAAACCATAAAAGATACCCAAGTAATGTCATAATAAATGAACACGAACACGAAATATAAAATGTCTTCAATGATACGGACTTAAGAACCCTATCGTGACAAAGACTGACTGATCTTTATTTACCTATTTCACAATGCAATCCATCGTAAGGCCACATGCAATAGCAGGACGGTTCGCTATTGCAACATATGTAGTTCAAACACGTGCCAGTGTTACATCCACCACATAACATGTCATTGACTTGTTGCGCCATACACTCCGAATCTAAGACATGCGAGAAAAACATGAATTGTAATGTTTGTATGTTACATACATGGTACGGGAAACACTACGCTAAGGACCATGTTTAGCGCTAATATATCGAGTTATATTTAACAAATCGATAGCAGTAATCCCCTTAGAGTAATAAGCAATGCAACTCCATTGACCCCGTAACAGCAATAATTAATTTATATATATATATATATACATATATATATATATATATATACATATACATATATATGTATTCATTTATTTATATGAATGTATTGCTTCTAGTGTATACATTTCAATGCACACATTAATCAGTAAAATATTTTTCTTAGCTGAAAGTAGATTTTCTAGCATTTTTATTCTTTTAACTGTTCTGTTTTATAAGGGTACATACATTTGCTTATCCTGGTTTATATGTAAATAAACTTGTGTTTTGATTACGTGAACTCAAAATGAATTCAGTTATCAACAAGTACAAGTGTTTTGCGACTCAGTTCTCTGCTGTTAGCAGGATTGCCATTTATACGTCATATACACAGCAATTGGCATCACTCAAACACGCTCCCCTCGCGATTGCAATATATAGGATATGCTAGCCTAATGGAACGTTTAAAATAGAATTTTTGAACTATCGTTAATGTTGCAAAGCAACAATATATAGCGATGGCATGGGGGAAAAGTTTGAAGAGTAAAAAAAAAATTCAGTCACATTAGGGTGCCCATCCATTTCGAGCGCACCATCCCGATAATGTACACATAACTTCACATAAAAATGTGACAAATGAATCAATATTACCCTTTGGTCTTAATTGTTACACATGTCTTATATTTAGAACTAGGGCAGTAATTATGTCACGTAATATTCAGCTATAAATGTACACATCACATTGTGTGAAAATCGACAACTGTTTTTTTACAAAATGGCGAGGTATACTTGCCTGATTCATCAACCGTATTTATAGAAACATCTTCATTTTCACAATACTTCCCATGGTAACCATACTGGCAAATACACTCGCCATATTCATTACATGTGCCATTTTGGCACAATTGACCACATTCTGCTGAATGAAACATAGTAATAATAGTTAATTGACATAATTTATAGAGTTCTAAATAAAGCTTCAGGTATACATTTAGTAATATTACATTTTGACCCGTAGCTGTTGTCCGCTAACCCATCGCAAGCCGACGGTTTTTGTTCAGCATTAACTAGGAAAGTACTAAGAAGTACACATTCACTAGTTTCTTTGCTCTCAACAATGCCGTTTATTGGGAGAGTACGGTTTTTCAGAATTAGATTGTTCTCACAAGTGAAGCGCACAATGTTAATGAATCAAATG